GTTTTACTTCTCGGCAGTCTTACTTCTCGATTTCTTATTCCCCGACATGCGTGCGAAGCGAAGCATGTATTTTTGTACTCTAATGAGCTATAAATATCATCGCGCCCACTGCGATAGTAAACGCTAGTTCTTTCCTGCCGTGGTATTCTAATAATGTAGTTTCATTCTGAGCGCAATAATTTTCATTGGAAAACCGACGCAAGGAGTGACCATACAGGGTAGACACAGGGTGTGTCATCGACTTTATCTACGACATCTGTTTCCGCAATCGGGTTATCTTAGTAGTCGCGGCTTTGATCGGTTACCTTTGACCAAAGTAATATATTAGTGGTATAATATAACATTAGAATTTTGTTTATGTAACAATTTATATATAAAACGTAGCACACCATTTTTGCTAATTTAATGCGTCGCGCGAAGGGAGAAATTACTAACGCCTGGGGCAACGAGAATTAATTAAGCGTAATTGCGTAAAGCACTATGACCCCGTTCTCCTGATAAACTCTGATCAGTCTCTCAAGTTTGATAATGATTAATGCAAGAATTACGAGTAAACAAGCAAAAAGGGTAGCGAAACTGCGCATTAACTATTATCTTTCATGAAAATTGTTGTTATTAAAAAATATATATTGTGAAATTTCTTGAGTAATACACGATAACCTAAATGTAATAGGTATAATACATGAGAAGAGATAATTTTTGCTGTAGATAATAAAATAAAAAAAGTTTCTTTGCCTTTTTCATCACATCTTAAACTCCAGTAATTTTTAATACAATTCAGATAATATAAGTATTCAAAATCATTCCCAGTTATTAAATCCGAAGCTTTATATCAATCAAATAACAAATTAATTCACGTAAACGCGCAGTCAATTAAAGTCAAAGACTACAAACAGCGATGATTAATGCTAATGTAGCGTCTAGTGTAGGTAATAGAAATAATTCAATTGATTGTGATCAGGCAAAAAGGAGCAGCACAGCCGAGAGACTAGTGACAGAACGAAGAAAGAATAATTATGTAAACGTATTATTATTTTGCAATTTCAAATTATTTATCTTACTAGATATATTAAATGATTATTTAAAGCAAGACATCTAACTGGAATGCGTATCGACTATTAATATCGCTGGCAATGAACGCCAATTGATCAGATCAATTTTGCAATGTACTTTAAATTTGTCTCTATCGTATCGAAAATACTCAGCATAAAAAGTCATTGAACGAAAAAATATAAAAACAATATACATCTATAGGTATTCTCGTGATAAGACTACTTTTTCGTGAGAGTATTCTTATCACGAGAATTTATTGCAAGAAATCACGAATATGGGAAATAATTCTTTTTTTCTCGTATGTTCTCTAAGCATAAGCATAAAAAAAAACATTAAATATATTTAGATACGTGACAATTATTATATTTTTTAACGTACGAACAACTTCAATACGGTAATTAGATTCTGATGCGAGAAAAGGTAATTAAACGCACGTGCATTAAAGTTTTCGTAATGGAGTACATTAAAAATGATTATGGAATCGTGGAAAATGTCGCGCGATCTCTCATAATCTAGTTACGATCAATACGCGCGGAAAGTTTTGTTGCAAAAGACAAATACAGTCGCGACGATCGACAATTCATTCTACAATTCACGAGACGGCCAATCCATCCGTTCGGAGCATCGTCTTCATTTCATCTGTGCCCGACTGTGTTTAATCGGAATTTATAGTTCACGGTCGAATCGTTCTTCATCCTGCCACTCCTCGTTACCGAGAATTTTCTACCGCTTGTCTCAGTCTAGTTGTCGACGTAAGCATAAAACAACAGAGACACATCGTGTGATTGAAAAATGAAGCCACGTAAATGCTATTCGAAATCGTCATATTGTCAGACAATTGTTGATACGAATGAGACGTATCGAAAAGGATACGCGATTGCATTTATAAAACCCATTGTATAAATTAAATCCTAGAACAATAGTCAGAATAATACGTTCTTTAGTTCTTAAATTTGTCTTTATTAAGTCAATTTTTTTCAAGAAATATATATTTTGCGCTAAAAAGATACTGATTAAATTAGAGGGATTTTCTAAACTTCAACGGAAGTTACATGGGTATCAAACAACGAACAAACTATTAGGGTTCAAGGGTTAACGATCGTGCATAACATGCAAGATTGTTTAGGAGGAAGTGCGTATTCATGCGGTGAATCTCGTGTTTCAATCCACGCCCAGATTACCTGTGTGTTACACACATTACGTGACAAGCTACCTCATGGTTAAAAAAAAACGCCTTAAAATGGCTTAAAACCTTCGCTAGTGATGAATCATGTGAAACGCATATGATGGCATGTGTGTGTAAAAGAAATTAAGAAAAAATTCCAACTTCTGTCAATAGAATTGCTAAAAAATAGTAAATAAGAAAAAAGATGTCCTTATCTATACTCTCTTAATAAATCTCAATACTGCGTACAATTATATACGCATTATCATTATTACATGTACATGACCAATCAATTTGGCAAACATTACGCTTGCATAATTAAATGATTTATTAACATCAAACTGATAACTACCAATTAAAACTCTTTATCATAAAGTTGAATTTTACATATATTTTTGATAAACTTAAAATGATCTGTGAGTAACAGATTTACTTTGTTTATTAACTTAAAAAAAACTTTTTTAAGCGAAATTGGCAATACATTGAACTATAACCTTGCAATTGTTAAATAATGATCAATGTACTTTTAAATAAAAACTCAACTATAAATCAAGATATTATTTGTGCATCAAGAATGAAGCAAATCGTTCCAAATGTAAATATAAATGATAACGAAAGTCCAGATACGTCGTGAGCTTCTTGGTCATCAATTTTTGTAAAAACCACTTTTATATCAAATTATAAAAGTAGATAAAGAGGATTATCTCGCTAAGAGAATATAGAAAACTTATAAGATTACATATCTGTATTTAAATATTAACAAGCATACGTTTAATTGATTGCATACATAATTATTAGTGATTAATGGTTATCAATAATTTAACAGTCCATTTTTTACACTTTATTTCGACCTTCAAAAAGATAAGGATGACAATTAATAATGTAACGTTGATTGCTGAATGACCAACATAAAAAATTAATACTTCTTATATAATACTTTATTTTGCGTACACGGAAAAAATGATGTTATATTAACAATTAGATCTAATTGGAAATAATTTTGTTAATTCAATAACAGTATTAATAAAACAAATATTTGTTTTATCAAAACAAGAGTATAATGTATATTGTATTAACAAGATTATTTCCCGTTAGACTGTTGCTATACAATACATTTTCTTCTGTCTTTTATTTCAACTCAATGTGAGTTCTTCTCGAAAATATAAAAAATATCACGGTCATAAAATAACAACGATTAAGATCACATTAGAAGTAACGTTAAAATGAACAATGTGCGATAATCTTAAAGATTGTTCAAGAGTGGACTAGGCTCGAAGTCGCACGACACATTAGATAGGAGGAAATACATATTTCCACGTACCTGAGCTTTACATTTACACAAGGTGAAGATAACGGTGAAGAAATATACGGGCAGCTGAGTGCGCGCCAAACACATGGGAACGTAGCGTTTTTGAAGCATAACGAAAACACGCTGTTAGAAATCGCGCTGCGAGATATCGGAAGAATTTATATCGTTCATAAAATCAATTTTGAAAATATGTATCATTGGGAATGTCTCAAAAAATAATGGAGATAATCGATTAATATTGGATTATCTTTATATCATTGATTTTTTATATCAATTGATTAAAGTTTTTGATAGTATCAACATCGATTAATGTTAAGTTGCTTAATTAATTTCTTCCTTCTTATCTTTAAAATAAAGTGACGAGTTATATATGCTATTGTATTTTCTGCAAGAAGTAATGTATACACCACGAGTATATTATTTTTCTTCTGCAGAAAATACGATAACACACAAAAAGTTTGTAAATAAATAGTAGCGACATTTATCTGAAGTTAGAAATCGTCAATATTGAATAAACCATAAATTTTTAAAGTTTTTCAAAATGAACATTGAATAAAGTAGGGACATGCAATAAAAAGTAGTTACATATCAATTAATCAAGTTGTAGGAAATCTACGAAATAATCGACTCTCCAAAGAAAACAATATCAATCATTCAGACTGACATTTGTTAAATATGGGTTGTGCCCATGAACACTCGTTAAAGTTAACTGAGATTTGATCGATTCTCTCTCTCTCTCTCTCTCTCTCTCTGCCGTTTTTCTTTGAAAAACCTAAGAAATGGAATATTATTTATAAGTTGCATTTAACTGTACCTGTTGTAACTTACAGATGATTTAACTGTACCTAATTACAATTAAATTATCTGTAAGTTACAACAATCATTGAAGAGTTTTATATAACATATACTTCAAACTGTTGAACGCGGCTCGATAATATTTACTTGTTATGTTTCATTTACAATTCTGAACATACGGAAAATGCTTATTTAGTATCTTCTCTTGTTTGCTGAGGCCACTTTGTAAATACATTATTACCGCCCAGTCTCCAATTTCACACGTGTACATCCATACACGTCCTACCAGTAATTAATTGCACGATAATTTTGCAAGTTATACACTACGTCAGAAGTGGATTATAACGATAAAATGCAATAAATTCACAAAATGAATTTAATTGATGCCCGATCACGCGACCGTAGTGCACGATGTCAAATCATGCCTGTAATTTATCCTCGGACGTCTCACATGACATTGACTTAAAATACAATTGTATAACATATAATTCTGTCAATAATACAATATTTTTTATTAATAAGACTACGTCGTGTCTCAACATGTAACGCGTGGATGTTATTTAGATATCTTAATAACCGAGCATTTATCAAATGTGTAAATATTTCATACGTTTTGTCTAACTGTATTCAATTCTCGTAGGGTCCTGGGAACAACACATTTACCGGAAAGACACTTACCGGAATGTAACGCGACACTTGCTCCTCTCCTCAAGACTGTCCACAATTTAACAGGCTATCGCGGCTGTAGACGGTTTTTATAAACCCTCTGCGATAACGTTGGCGATAAGTGCACACTTCGCGGGTCTCTCCGTAGTTTAAATTTGATTCAGATTCGTGTTTCAAGCGCACGTAGTCGCTTATCGTTTTATTACATATATGCAGGAAATTCTGGGAAACTCGATGACGTTATTTCTTCTAGCGTGCAGTAGTCAATCTTCATAGAACACGACATATCTTTTCGCGAAGCGATCGAAAATTCAGTCCACGAGTGTCGACTGCCGTGGCAACGCAGGCCGATCGGCTACTCAGCATTCACGACCGGTGTCACCGGGATCAAAGGATTCCGCGTGCGAGGTGTCTCTCATCAGGCTAATCGAGAAACGCTCACGGTTGCAAGAAAAGAAAACTTTTCTTTTTATCCTATTATCGCGTGTTTCATCGTGTTTACGTGCGAGTTCGAATTTTTCGAACTTTAATTTCGAACGCGCTTTCCACCGCAACGTGCGCGTTTTTATAATCCTATCAGTTGATCAGTTATTTCTTTATCGGTTGAATTACTCACTGTGTCTACGACGGAAAGTTGTAAGGAAAATCCACGGCCACCAGCCAACGAAGCGCGCGTACGAATGCAAACTGAGCGTCGTCGCGACGTGACGGCTTTCACACGGCGCCGGGTTCCCCCGTTTCGGAACATCGCAGGCGGCAATCATCATCGGTGCCGGCACAGTAGGCTTTATAGCTGCAGATGGCGCCAGTCCATGAAGATCCATGAAGATCCAGGAAGAGCCATGATTTAATTAAAGGGATCCTAGTTTTGAAACGTAACTCGCGATAACAAGTAATTAAATTTTGGAGCAAAGTTTCCAATTTAAAGCAATGCAAATGCAAGATTAAGAGTAGATATAGAATATAGAATCCAGTCATGTAAGTAGATTTGAAATCAATTTTTCTCTGATAAAAAACCTGTGACTCCAATTCTTGGAGTTATCAGCCATCGCAAACACTGCCATGCAAATCCAAGTGTGTTATTTTAGCTAAAGCTCTTTGCTTACACATTTCTTGCCGTTTTAAATAACGTCATTTAACGCGAATGAACGTATTAACTTTTCATTTAATACGATTAAACATGTTAAATGACGTAATTTAACACATAAAGAAACATATATGTAAAAAGAGTTTCAGTCTAATGTGTCATTTTTAGACGTTTATGCGTGTAAAAATAACAAACTTGGATTTGTAATGAAAAGATGGTTTGTAAATTAAGTTTCGTGAGATACACCGAATATACTTATAGCGCAATCTTTATTAAATCAATTTTAAGTGGACCTTGATAACATTTTAATTTATTATTTAGCTGCAAAAATATTTAGAAGTCAATAAAATGACTTAAATTTTTTACCTGCTTTTAATCTTTAACTGCCCGGGCAGGGTCTGAGTGGACCCCAAGTTAGCTATTTTTGTTACGCATTTTTTCAGTTGTGCGAGATATGTGTTTTATTTATTATGTACTCTAAAACTGACATATCTAACATTACTTTTAGAGAAAACAAAAAAAAACTTGTGGGAATCCCTGCAGATACCACCCCTGACTATATGTTACTAAAAATAACGCGTGTACTTAAAGATTAAAAAATATGAAATCTTATACCTGATGTTATAAAATGTTTTTTGTACTTTTAATGTAGTATCGCAATTCGGATAAATAGTTACATAGGCGATCGAATTGCGGTTAATAACCTATATATATTTAAGTAGAAAAGAAATCGATTCACCGATTTATTGATACGTGACCGGTGTTATATTAGCCTGCATTGCATGAAGAGCAAACCCCGACAGTTTCGATCGATAAGTATCACATGCACCGTACCTACGCTGTTAAGATTCGGGAATTGAAAGAATGGATCATTATGCATTATTGTTGCTCAAGTTCCATAATGCGACAATTTAAAGTGCCTACAGGTATTTTATACTCGTAAAATAATCGTAATTTTCAATCTTTTATTAAGAGCGTGATTAATACAGCCTTGTGTTTCTTGTTCAACTACTTCAAGGATTAATGTTTTATGAATATATAAAAATTGTCAGTTTATTGTCAAAAAATGTTTTACATTATTTTAATTATTCGAATATTTATTATACAAATGTAAAATACTAACAAAGAGCCATTTAAAGCAAATGATATATCAAAATGATATATTACATGGGCGTTTAAAATCTCATCAAACACCGATTAATAATCATTATAGAATTAAAAAAATTGCAAAAAGAGCTACATTAAATTGCATATAAAGACAAATATGTCGATAGATAAATAATGATTGATGATAAATGTAGGAGTGGGCCCCTAGTTCGGTGGCGCTAACGGCAGAGGACCTGCGCGCGAGGCGCTTGCGCGAGGACAGTAGTGTAGGTCAGGGAGCGC